AAAGCTTCATTTGGCCAGCCCATGCTTGGTAATCCAAAATTGCTTGGGGAGTAGGAATAGGAAGACTATGGCCAAAGGCAGAATAGGAACCGCAGATTCTGCTGCATGGAACTTCTGCAGATAAGAAACATGAAATACTGGATGAATCTTAGAATCAGGAGGCCAATCCAAACAATAGGCAACAAAATCAATTTGGCCAAGGACTGGCAAGGGGCCCAAAAGGCCCACAGACATGGGGAGAATGCTTCTATTATGTTTGGAGCCATAGAAACTTTTTGCAAGGTTGGCGGCGTAAGGTCTCCAAAAACATAAGAAACATTTATCTGACGTCCATCCTAGCGATGTTTGTAGTATTTTAAGCTTCCAATAATGTAAACTTTGCAGCACGGAATCCCAGTTTGAAGCTCACAGTTGACCGCTCAACCTTAAAACAATATGAGTAGACATGGAGAAGGTCGACCATAAACAACTTTAAAAGGTATGCGCTGAAGAGAAATGTGTTTACTAGTATAGTAGCAATAGTCAAACCCAAGACACCCAATCCACTAAATTATGTAGGTTATGACCAGTGAGACAATGAGCAAATTTTTTTACAGTTCTATCTACCATTTTTGCTCGCCCATCGAATTGAAGGTGATAAGCAGCACTAAAAGAAAGATATAGTCCATTGAGTCAAAAGTATTCTTCTATTCTGTTGACAATTTCTGCTTGCCCGATGAATTGAAGGTGATAAGCAGAATTAAAAGAAAGATATGGTCCATTGAGTCAAAAGTGTTCTTCCAGAAAATACTGTTGAAAGTCACATCCCAATCATTCGCTTATCGTGGGACAAGTCAATTTGGAGGGTATTTGGGATCAAATTGATTCATAATCGATCTAGTCTTTTGACTAGTGATTTTTTACACAAACATATCTCACTCTGTCTGTTAAAAGAAAGATGGAGATTCAGTTATTGTGATATCTTGTGTGGCATTACATTCTGTGGTCTGAAATGACTTTTAAAAGGGGAATAACTTTTTGTTTTATCTTACAGATTTCCATGGTGTCCCAAGTGATTACATGCATGTATGCATATCTTGATGGTCATGCATGTTTGCATATCTCGATGGTTATGGCTTCACTATTTCAGTCTCCGATGCATATTTTATTTTAATAATAATACTCCTGGTCAATGTAGGTTGGGAAATTGAGAGAAGCGATCGATACAGCAAATAATGCAGAGCTGAAGTTATTTCTTGAAGTAGAACTTGGTCCGGTAATATTGTTTATAATATTAATTATTTTCAATCTGATGATTGTGTCAGAAACGTTTTGGTATAGATTCTAATTCGCTGTTATGTTGTCAATGGTCTTCACAATCATCCAGGATTTGCGGCCCATACCTCCGCCTGATAGGACTAATGATGATTTCCTTCTGTTCTTCAAAGTTTATGATCCTTTGAGAGGGGAGCTACGGTAATTTCTACCTTACGTCTACTAAAGAAAAAACTTGTTTTTCTTTTAATATTTCAAAACTAGTTACCATCACAGTGGACTTTCTTTCATTGCATCAGTTATGTTGGAACGCTGTTTGTGAAGGCTAATGATAAGCCAATGGATATATTAGCAAAACTAAATGCAATGGCGGGTTTCGCTCCTGACGAGAAAATTGAACTTTATGAGGTTGGTCATTCTTATTCTGTTATTATATTCTAGGTAGTTTATATCTTTGATGAATTTGAAAGATTATGAGCTCATATTCTTCCATGTTCAGGAAAT